CTAATTAATGTCTGAGTGGCTAGTTATGTGGATGACTAAGCGTATAAGTTTGCATGTGTGTGTGTATGCCTTGTTATGCATGTATGCATTAAAGTACATTGTTAATTGGATGTTTTGTATATTTGTGTATTATTATTATTATTATTATTATTATTATTATTATTAGCATTTATATAGCCCCATCTTATTCTGGGGTAAATTGAACGTTAAATGAGACAATTACAAAATGTTACAGGAACAATAGGTTGATGAGGACCCTGCTCAAATTTGCCTACAGTCTATAATGAGGGCATCTAATTATGAATGTGTTTGAGACAAAGAGTATTGCTAGCTTGGAATGTATTTGTGAGAATGGTTGATTTAGAATTAGTGTGATTAGTTTGTAGGAGGGAATAGTGTGTGATGATATAGCTCTTGACCCTGTCCCTTTTTGGTTTGAAAGGCCATTTCAGAGAGACATAAATCTAAATTTACTAAGTTACGCGTGAAACTAAATATTTTTCTGGCTCTGGATTTGGACCTTGTGAAGGACTTTTATGTATTTGCCTATATGCTTTCAGCTTAACCCTCTCCCTGCTGTTTTAATGTCTGTATTTGTTCGGTTTAAAATGTTGAGAATAAATGTATTCGTTTACCGAAAGGGGACCACACACCCTGGGTAGCAAGGAGCAATTAGAACACAGAGAAACCGCAACTTAATTGCTACTAGGTGGCCTCCATTCGACATACGGACACGTGGCGAGAACAAAGGATGGCGGCCATCTTAAAACTCACGAATGCGGTCAGCGGGGCTTACGCATGAATTGCATTGAACTGTTTTCGGTACGGGAAACATGCGAATGCCCGGTCCCCATGGAAGTCCTGGATGAATACGTTCCCCTCCACGAATCAAACTGGCGTTCGGTAGATAGCATCTACCGAATGAGGGGAACATTCACAGGTAACCAGCTGAACTATACGAACGGTGGTTTTCGTGTAGTTATATGCGAACGGAGACCGGCTCTTGCTACTGATTCTATGGAACTCTAACTCGGATACCTCCACATGGCAAGCCGGTCAAACTTCCACACGATGCGACACGGAAACTACCAAACGGAAATTCGTGAGATTTGGATATGTGACTACCAGTATCCTCAGCTACCCAGGGATGTTAAAAGTATATTTGTATGTCTTGTAAAAAGTATGTTTCTGAAATTGTTAAAAATTGTAATGTTTCTGGCCAGCAGATAATTGAGCTTTGTGTATTGTAGAAACTCAATTATCTAGCCTGGCCCAGAGGAGGAGTTTTGTGTTGCATAAATTGTGAGTTCTGTGTGCCAGTAAATCAGTCTTGTTCCAGCATTAAGTTTTGGCTCATGTGTGGATTATTCGGCGATTCCAGGGATATTTCTACTTATGGAATATTGAGTGCTTTTCTTTTATGGGAAGAAGGGAATGCTTGACGGGGATATTTTCTACTACCGTCACAGACCTGGATCCAAAAGTCTAGGAAAATCCAATCTAAACTATTTTAGTTTTATGTTGTTGATGACTACAACTTCTAACTACTAGCGCTGCTGAATATGTTCCGAAGCTGAGCTCTACGCAATCAAGGAGCATGACATCGAAATGAGGTCGAAGGTCATTGCAATCTACTTCCCTGCAGAGAGAATTAGTTCCCTGTTTCTGAATGTAGAAAGGAGCTGATGCAAAGGAAAAATTGAAAGCGTTGCTAAATCTGAAACAGTCTGTAATATTTAGCATTTACTTCTCCTTGAAACTTGGTCAGTGCTCGAAGGAGGTATTATTAAACATGTATTACTTGCACAGTGTGAAATCATGTAATAAAATGAGCTCTGCACTGGTATGTATACATCAATCAGAATACAAAAAAGTAGAATTCTCTGATATAACTAAAACCTGCTTGTGGAGATCAAATAAGCTGGCGTCAGCTCACACTTAACTAGTTATAGCTTTTTGATACTTAGGGGCTATGATTCAAGGATGACACTGCGTTTCTCTATATGAAAGAAACAGTAAACTTTTAAATTAACTTTTACTTCTTTTATAGAGGTAAAAGTATTTTTTTAAACCAACTAGGATTTAAAAATAAAAATGGGGGGGGAGTGCTTTTTTTTAAGTTATAGGGCTTTTTGTATGTAATTGTCTGAGCTGAACTGACAGTCTTCGTACACATCTGTCTGATTAGCTGTGTGTTGCTGTCACAATTTCCCCTCATTAATCCACTACCGAAAGGATCTTGGATGCGGCTCATTGTATTTTTATAATGTACAAATATAATAATGTGTGTGAGTGCAATGTATAAAACCAAAAAATACATCTGAAAATATATATAATATATACAATATATTGATTTTGTAGTATGTTTTGGGTCATTGTCCATCTGTAAAGTGAAGTGTCGTCCAATCTACTTCACTACATTTGGCTAAATATGAGCAGACACTGTATCCCTATGCAAGTCATAATTTATCCAGATGTTTCTGTCTTCTGTCACATCATCAAAGAACACTAATGACCCAGTTCCACTGGAAGCCATGCATGCCCATACCATCACATTCCCTCCACCGTGTTTTACAGATGAGGTGATATGCTTTGGATTATGAGCCATTCCAAGCCTTTTACATACTTTTTTCTTCCCATCATTCTGGTACAGGTTGATCTCAGTTTCATCTGTCCAAAGAATGCTGTTCCAGAACTGGACTGTCTTTTTTAGATGTTTTTGGCAAATTCTAATCTGGCCTTTCTATTGTTGAGACTTATGAATGGTTTGCACCTTGTATTTGCTCTTGTGAAGTCTTCACTTTATGGATAATGATATGCCTATCTCCTGAAGAGTGTACTTCACTTGGCCGGATGTTGTGAAGGGGTTTTTCTTTACCATGGAAAGGATCCTACGATCATCCACCACTGATGTTCTACATTGACGACCTGTTGCAGAGCTCACAATTGCTCTATTTATTTCTCAGAATGTACCAAACTGTTGATATGGCCACTCCTAAAGTTCCTGCTACCTCTCTGATGACAGTTTTTTTTTTTTTTTTGCAGCCTAAGGATGGCCTTTTTCACTTGCATTGAAAGCTCCTGTAACGAAGCTCCAGTACTCCAACCGAGTACCTCCGCCAAGTTTGCTACCTCTGACTTATCAGGGACCTTGGGGCACTTCATATCCAGTCACCGAGGCTTGTCTGAGATCACTGAGGGCCTTTTCCACCCTGGACCAGGCTACTGTGTATGTAGCCCATGGCACCCTTTCCATCAGCAGATTATATCCCTTTCCCCAAATACCAGACAACACATGGTGAAGGTTAACACAGCATTTCCTTTAATAGGTATAGCACACACGTTTTTAAGCCCCCAACAGCCTCATTTACATACAATAGGGTGCATGAAGCACTATAGTACAAAGAAGGGTGGGGTCATAAAATAGCAAGACCTGATGGGAAATTGAGGAGGGACAAAGCAGCTAGTTTAAACTGGTCTGGCAGTGTCCCTGGGACAACGCCCTGTTGGAGAAACAATGGGACAGGAAAAGGGGGGAGGGGGAGAGGCACAGACATGCAATATATTACACATACCCTGCACGAATACTTGGCACAGGGTGACCAAAACACAAGAGGAAGATGGGGACCTACATATATTGTCTGTCTGCTATTCTCAGTGACTGTGATTACTGCAACAGCTTCCAAATGCAAATGCTACACTTGGAATCAACTCCAGGCCTTTTACCTGCTTAATTGATGAAGAAATAACAAAGGAATTGCCCACACATGTTGATGAAACACCTTTTGAATCAACTGTCCAATTACTTTTGGTCCCTTGAAAAAGAGGAGGCTACATATTAAAGAGCTGTAATTAGCTCAAATTAAAGCAATGTAAAGCCCATATTCATTATTTAACTGTAACTTTATTTTTATTTTGGTAAACTGTTTTGTAATTGGCTGGAGACCCCAATAACAAACCATGTGTTAGTGTCTAAATATTTCTGGCCCTAACTGTGTATATATATACACACACACACACACACACACACACTCATACCCAAAATGGTATTATTGTGTTTATATGTACACAAACATCTGTAGCCAAATACTATATACATGGTACCAGAAATTAGTATTCTATGTAGTTGTTCATTTTACTATCTGGATCTCCATTCACTTTAAAAAAATACAATCAAAACGAATGCCATGGAGCAACCCTGTATCTTCACCTGAGTGTTAACTACATATTTACTATTTCAGAAGGTCAGTGTCCCAGAGACACTCGAGTCTACTGCTGTATTCTATTGAAGTGTGGCAGGGGAAAGTCGGCTTGGCAATATGTTAGAGGAGAGGTAGGAACATTTTTGTATTATAGAACACATATGAAATGTGCAACATAAAATCTCCTTGATTTCTTTCAATGTTCGGTCCTTAGACTGAATGCTCTGTACAGTGTTGTTATATTGTCTGCATAATTAGATTTTTATATATTGTTTAGGATATTTATGAACTTAACACCATCTTTTAAGGAATACCTTGCTTTTTACATATAGCTCCACTGTTATCTAAACCCCCACCCTGTGATTTTTTTTTCTGTCCAATTCTCTCTTTTTTTCATAAGCTTTATAGAGTATGATCCTTAGCTCTCCACTAGATTTAGACAATATATTTCACATTGATCTGTAGTTTACACATCAAGGATGGGCAATAGCAGGGAATTCATTTTCTATTTTGAAGTTACTATGTGTACTTTATTAAAGTTTTATAGATAATCAATACAAAGAACAGTATAACATACAGTTTAAATACTTTATTAATTTTAAGTAATGAGTATCAGATTTAAGAACGTGTAATATAAGAAATACCATTATTAAATATATAAATATCAATAAATAAATATATACATGCTTAAATTGTTTACAGGGTGCTTAGCCTCTGCTTATAATACAAAAAATAGGAAAATGGAAAAGTAGGCTGCACTCACGGTGTCAGGATCCTATCCTGACAATTCAAAATATGTTTCATTTCTACTTGTTTAATTTTATACAGTTCCAGTTTTCACCACTAGTGGCCTCCCTAGCCACTAGTCACCTCAGTCTCTCTCACCTGCATAGCGTGATATGCCAAGTCTGCTATAAAAGGCCTCACCCAACTCATCACATGGCCTTTACATTGTGAGAGAAGTTGTGTTCTGAACCTGACAAGTCTTCTGCTCCTGGCTCTTACTAAAGAAGAGCTGCTCCACCCTTACTTACCTTCAACCACCCTGATTTATTCCAACCTGCTCTCCAAAACGAACCTGCTTTCTTTCTTTACTGGACTTTGTTTTCATATTGATTTGGTTCCAACCCGCCTGGATATTACAGACATTATTATTTGCAAGTATCCTCAAAGACCCTGAAACTGCAGTTCTGGTTACAAACCAAAGAGGCTGATCACCTCAATTGCTGCTTTAACCTGTTTTTCTTTATCCTTTATACTCCTGTTTAGTTTTATCTAATTGTATCCCTGTCTCCTGTAAACCTGTTTTGGGCCATATTGCCTAAACTTCTATTTTCATACTCACCTGTAATTCTGTTTCTAGTTTCTGCTTTCCCCCTTTGTATTTATTATACATTTTCCCTCTCTCTCTCCTGTTATTCTTATTGTTACCTTTGTCTAACCATGTCTAATAACTCAAATAAACTACCTGAAGTCAACTCCGGCATAAGTCTCTTGTCTGACCTGATCAGAACCATGCCACACGGTTTTCTAGAGCAGTTTTTGTTTTATTTATCCATTTGCTTGGTGGACAAAACACAATACTGTGTGTAGATTAAAGAATCATTAGGAGAGGTCAATGTTTCAGTGCCACCTGGGGACTTTCCACAAAACCCCCCCAAAAAACTGCTACATAAAGCTGTGAGTGAAGGCTATTTTTATATATATATATAATGCATGTATGTATGAAAACACGAAAACGAATAACGTAGAAATTCATTCATACAGCTCATACATACAGAGGTCGAAGAGGCCATCAGGAGAGTGTATCGGGAGAGTATTAAAAAATGTTTTAATATATAGTGCTATGTAATGGGTCTTCCTTTTAAACAATAACATGAAATTTATATGTATTCATACTTATGCTTTTATCTAATATTTTTACACAATGTATCTTGTTACACATATATGCATAAAAAGCAACTACAGATTTAAGTCGAAATTTGGCCAACATTTAGACCAAAATTGCTGATTTGGAAAATGTATGTATTTGGAAAATAATCCGTAGTCACAGCTTGGCTATTTTAGTCCACATTTTTCAATCCGTTTTTTCACTTCATTACAAACTGATATTAAGGGAAAAAATAATAATGAGTTGAGGAACAATATAGCACAAACAAATGTACACGATAGGTGGAGATGTCAAGTAACAGCTCTTGTCAAAGAACCAATATCACTTATCAGAGTAAATCCCGTGGATGGCATTCTGCATCCATCCCAATCACATAGACACTCAACTGATCAGAGCTATCTGGTATTGCGCAACATGAAACGTTTAGAAATGGAATCTTAATTTGATTCAACTGTATTGATTATTCCAAGAGAAGAGAGAAGAGGGGGATTCCTTCTACGTAGCTATGTGCATACTGCAATATATTTAAAGTAATTGATTCTAATAAAGTGAGAGTGATATGTGCTGAGACATGGAACAGAAAGATTGATTATTTCACTACCGAAAAAACATCTGACATTAACGCAATAACATTCTTTAATATTTATAGACACTTAAGTGCAGGATGTTGAATAGCAGCACTCCCGAAGAAATGGGCCACAAATTACATTTGTGGAGTAAATTTTAAAAGGCTAATGCTTTTGTCTAACTGGGTAGAACTAGTTGTAAACTTCCAAGTTCAGGTCTCTGTACATAAATTTATCTTATTTTACATTAGAACCTATCTCAACCCACCCAAATGCATTTGTGTAGGTACATCATATATTTAAATTGGATTTTTGTTTTTTTCCAGTTGGGCTACATGAGGTGCAATGTGACTACACATTTGTGATAGTTTGTTCCTTTGGTGAATAGTCTTCTATTCTACAATATTGAGTCCCTGTATAATGTGCCTATCAGATCAGTCAATAGCTATTGAATACATTTCAGATAATCAACGGCTTACTTAAAGGTGTTTTAACAGGCTAGGCAGAGTCTTGCGCAAGAGTTATGCATTGGACAAGTATGCCTTACTACAAACTAGGGAGTTCCTAATTTTTTAACGTATAAATTTGGAAGGAATAGAATTTTACAATACATCTAATTCTCAGGTTTTAATAAGAAATGTATCTTCATTATTCCAGAACCATACCAGGCCCGTTTTAAAATCATAAAACATATTTTAATTCAATACAACAATATATTCAAAAAGGATGACCTTGAACTGCCCCATTAGTCTTTGTCTAGTCATTTATTACTCGTTCATTAAATGTTTCACTTAGCACAGTGCCCTGCCTTTCCATAGCCAGAAACAGGAATAGAATCCAGTTGTGTGATCCTGGTCCTTTGATTCAGTCCAAGGAACACAAATCAAAGCTTGCTATTCTTTCAAGCCTCAAGGCATGACAAGATATTTCTCCAATATCCCATCGGAGCCCTTCCCTTCACACAAACAATGCACAGGGCATAGTGAATATAAAATATATTGAAAATAATTGGGAACCAATATGTCAGCTTCAAATTGCATACATTAACTGTGAAATCAGCATGGATCTATGTATGCAGTGATGGATTATAAGCAATCCATTATTATGTCCTATTGATTTTCTGAACATCTAAAACAGCCTACCCAAAGCATTTTTCTTGGTTCCAGAACTTCCTCATGGGAATGGAATGTTAGAGTCAATCTTAATACACATATACACACATATATTACACTATTATGCTGTAATATTTTACTTGGCCCAAGGTACTCATGCTTTGGTGTTTTGTATTTAAAGTGAATGCATTAATTAGCAATAGTCTAGATGCATTATGTTTGTTTATTGACTGGTATTATTCTGGGGTTGCACTCCTAAAGTATGTGATTCCACTAGTTATAACCCTATCTTCTTCCTTTCAAGGAGGCAGAAACAAAAGCAAAGACCGACAACATAAGAGAAAAATAAAAAATAAAATCACCTTTTCAACCCTGGCAGAAGAGCCCCGGTCACCGATACGGTGAGTACGGCACCTTAGTGTTCCTTAAGCTATAGTGTTCATTTAAGGAACTCAGCTGTTTCTCATCCCAGCTAATCCAGCGGAGGAACTATTGTAGAGAGGGCCCAGGTGCAAGAAATTTTTTTTGGGCTTCCTTCAATAGCAAGAATGACCAAAAGGTAGATTCACATCTCTCATACAACTTCCACAATGCTATGCCATTTAGGGATCTACCATTTGCCCGTCCTTGATAGGGTGTATTTGTGAGCAGTGTTTGTGCATTTGAAAGTACGCACATTTTTGTAAACATGGAAGGAAGTAAGGAAGGAAGCAATACCCATCAGATAAGTGCCTGGTACTCCTGATTGGCCACATTATGCAGTAGTTCTGCCGCTGCATAGATGGTCATATCTACATATACATATAGAGCCTACTGGAGTTTCAAGGTGTGCCATCGTATATCCCTGTTAATCTGCATCAGCAATACCTGCACAGGCACAGAGGTGGACAGAGGTGGTAAGTCGTGTCCCTAAGGGTTCTGTTCTAGAACCCCTTCTATTTAACTTGTTTATAAATGATCTTGAAAAAAGCATTGAAAGTCATGTTTCAGTGTTTACAGATGACACAAAACTCTGTAAAGCGATACAATGTGAGCAAGATATTACTTTGCTGCAGTGGGATTTACATAGACAGGGGGACTGGGCACTCAAATGGCAGATGAAATTTAATGTAGAAAAATGCAAAGTTATGCACGTCGGGGTAAAGAATGCATAAGCAACTTACACCATAAATGGTGAATTAGGAATAACAACACACGAGAAGGATTTTGGAATTGTTATAGACAACAAACTAGGAAACAATGTGCAATGTCAATCAACAGTGACTAAGGCCAGTAAGGTATTGTCATGCATAAAAAAGTGCATTCATTTTTGGAGTGCAAATATAATTTTGCCTCTTTGCAAATCACTCCTAAGACTACATTTTGAATATGCTGTGCAATTTTCAGCACCTGTTCTAAAGAAGGATATTATGGCACTGGAAATAGTGCAGAGGTAGGTTTCAAAATTAATAAAAGTAATAGAACATTTTAGCTATAAAGAAAGGTAAACAAATGTAAACCTCTTTAGTTTACACAAATGTTGCCTTAGAGGGGATATGATAACATTATACAAATATATCTGGGGAAAGTACAAACCATTGTGTGTAAATCTATTCATAAACAAGACTATACATAGGACACGAGGTCATGTGTTTAGACTGGAAGAAAGAAGATTTAGTCTAAAGCAAAGGAAAGGTGTGTTTTTTTACCATAAGAACAATAAGAAAGTGTGGAATTCTCTGACTGAAGAAGTGGTTTTATCAGAGTCTGTACTGATGTTTAAACAGCAACTAGAGGCATACTTGCAAAAACATAATATTAAATTCTATTATTTTTCAACTGTAGGGTAATAGCTTCTTGATCCAAGGATGAATCTGACTGCCATTCTGGGGTCAAGAGGGATTTTCTTTTCCTAGTTTGTTGCAAAATTGGAAGTGCTTCACACTGAGTTTTTTGCCTTCTTTTGGATCAACAGCAAAAAACAGATATGAGGAAGGCTGAACTTGATGGACACTTGTCTATTTTCAGCTATGTAACTATGAGGGAGCATCCACGGGGATCTCCCCATAAGTACAGCAGAGGGTCAATTCAGATCTGAAGAGAACTGAGATTGCAAGCCACCACCGCACGCACATATGCACACAGTGCAGCGCGAGCAAAGACCCAGCACAATTCCTGCCTAATTCTGACTGCTGCAGCACACTGCTAACAGGCATTCCAATGCACCTACAATTATTTTCAATAACAAACCAGATATTCTAGTAGCCCGGAGAGCAATTTATCCTTCCCCTTGCTAGCCCTCCCCTATAAAGCATTATTCCAAAAAAAATTCTCCGTGACAAATGACTTGAACACTTATCTATCCTGCTACCAACATATGTTAAAAGACGCTTCTATTTCAAAAGAAACCTTGATGCTTTTTCTCATATATTTACCTACACTTAACTCACATCACTATAAGCCGCCATAGAGCCTGCAAAAAAATAAATAGTC